CACACACACACACACACACACACACACACACACACACACACACACTTACCCTTCACCGACAGAGGCTCGAGAATGTGAGGCGTCGACTCCTTCTGCCTCATCGGCAGAATGTAGAAGTCCTTGAAGAAGGCACTGCTGCTGAGCTGCACACTCGCCCACCGTTTTTTATTGGTAAAGTAGCCGGTGAGGTAGCCGTGGAGGGCGTCAAAGCCCGTCCGTTCAAGGTTGGTCCGGTAGAAGAACTGCAGCACACAGACGTTCTTCCGAAAGTGGACGCGGTCCTCGCGCGGCCCTTGGCTGAGGCGCTTCACGTAGCTGGCCGGCTGCTCCGGGGCCACGCGGCCCTCCACGCGCAGCCTCGAGGTGAATATCTAAAGTAAAGTAAAGTAAAGTGAAGAAGCAAAGAGAGAAGAGGAGAAAAAAGGTCAATTTAAAAAATTCCACCACTATTTTTTCCTTCATCTTCCCCCACCCCCTCCCATTACCTCTCTCAGTGCCGGTGATGGACTGCCGCGAAGAATTTTCGCAAAGCAATTAAATTTCGCCACGCCCTTCATCCGAACTTCGCCCTCCCAAAAGGGCTTCTTCTTGTTGCCGTCGCCGTTGACAGCTGCGTTGGCTGGCGTTGGCACGCCCCCCACCGGAGCCATCGCCACCGCCGGCGCCAGTGGGCGAATGTTCANGGGCGAATGTTCATGGCCAGCGCCGCCGCCTCCACTTCATTCGGCTCGGGGCCATTGGCATTGGCAGCATTGGCGTCACCATTCTCTTGGTAGCCATTGGTCACCACTGCTGCCTCACCGCCTTCGCCGACGACTTTGCTGGCAGTCTCATCTGCCGAAGCACTGTCGCCCTTGTCGTCGTTGTTCTCCTTGCGAGTTCGCTTACCACCACTGGAAGACGACGACGACGACGACGACAGTCCATTGTACTTGGCGGACTCACCAGTCGACGACAGTGGTCGCTTTTTGCTGCTGATGCTGTTGCCGCCGCTGCCACTGCTGCTGGTGCTCTTCTTCTGAGCAGCACTTTTGTCTGAAGGCGCCGCCTGCTTCTTCGTACAGATCAAACAGTGGTCGCTGAAGATGTGGATGTCGTGCTCCGAGGTAGTGTCGCGCAACAGGTCAAAGAAGTTCAGCGGGTCACTGCTGCTGCTGCTGCTGGAGGAAGAGGAAGAGGTTGCCGCTGGCTTCACTGGTTCCCTCTTTGCCTCAACTGGCTTCTTTTTAATGGGCGTGTGGGCTGGCCCTTTAGCTGATGAAGAGCTGCTGCAGGCAACAGTCTTTGAAAAAGTAGAAGCATGACTAGAAGCTGTCTTGCTACTACTGCTGCTGCTGCCATGAGAGTGATGGCGAGCGTGGTGGGAGTGGTGGCCAGAAGATGTTGCTGACAATGATGAGCCACCAGCTTTGGAGGATGAACTAGAGGAAGAGGTGGCGGTGGTGGCCATCTCCGCCTTCTTAGACAATGAAGTCGGTCCTGAATGAAAACAAAAATATTAGTTGCTTTGTAACTGTTAACTTTTCCCACTTTCCAAAGACCTACCATTCTTGAGCGGCGCCTTTGGAGCAGCCATCACCTCCTCCGAAGTAGCGGTAGCCGTGACAACAGGGGCAAGAGCAGGGACCTCACTGGAAAGAGTGGCATCACTTGCCCCAGCACTCCCACCACCACTGCCTCCCTTGACCAGCACCACGCCCTTGTGCGTCTTCTTGAGGACCATGGGGGGCTGCATGGCCGTCTCCTCTGCCTCCTTCATCATCATCTCCAGCTGCTCCCGGTGTGCATTCGCCCGCCATTCCTTCAGCTTACTGGAGGCCATGTCNTCTCCTCTGCCTCCTTCATCATCATCTCCAGCTGCTCCCGGTGTGCATTCGCCCGCCATTCCTTCAGCTTACTGGAGGCCATGTCGTCGGGCGTCATGACCACCAGCCGACTCACCGACACCTCTTTCAGCATCACCTGCCGGGCGAGGGTATTGGCGGCGTCCTTCAGGTTGAAGCGCAGCGAGCGCGACTTGGCGTTGTACTGCTTCATCACGTGCGACTGGCTGCTCCACAGCTCCTCGTCAATCCGCGCCACCAGCTTCTTGATGACGCGGCGGTGGCCGGGCGAAGAGTCGGCGTCGCCATTCCCTCCGCCGCCAATGCGCGCCTTCTCCTGCTCATTAAGGTCGGCGTAGCTGGGGGGAAGCAGTTGTTTGAAATTAGCAAAAAATCCAAAACATATCGCTTACCGAAGCTCAAAGATCTCCCGCAGTGCCTTGCGAAAGTTCCGCCGCATCTCCTTGGGATTGGGCTGCGACGAGGAGTTGGAGCGCTCCAAAGTGCTCGACTTGCTGCTGCTGCTGCCGCCGCTTTCCTTCTCCTTCTTCTCCGCACTCTTTGACTCTGAGGCTTTTGAAGCTGTGGATGCTTCCTTCCCTTCCTTCGAGGTGGACGACGTCGAGTCCTTGCGCTCTTTTGATGACGAGGACGTTAGCGAGAGGGATCGCTTCTTCGCCGATGAGGAGGAGTCCTTCCCCCTCTTTTCGTCCGTCTTTGAGGAGGAAGTGGAGGACGAGTGACT